CAAATAAAATCACACATACTCATACAGGACTGTTGTAATAGAGACAAAATACTGGTAAATACAGAGAAGTCATTTTGATTTTCTGCTGCAATTGGATCTCACGTTCCAATTGTGGGTATATTACTTTCTGATTTTGAACCTCAGTGTCCCTATCTGTAAATTGGGGATAATATAACACCTTGTGTGGCCTTTTGCATTATCATTTAGCTTTTATAAATGTTGATAGCCTACAAAAGTCAGGGCTGACCTGAGGCAAAATTATATTCCGTGCAATGTTATTTAACAGACTTAGAGGTCCATTCCAAATTTGTCTCTGTGCTTGTTGGGGGAGAAACATGGAGATGGAGATACAGCCAGCCTCTGAATGACTGCCTATTGCCTCCTGCTATGATTTGAACGTGTTCCCCAGCATTCATGTGTTGGAAACTTAATGCCCAATGTGGCAGTGTTGGGAGGTGGGAACTAATGGAAGCTGTTTAGGTAATGAACAGAATAATGCTATTATAATAAGGGCTCACAGGGGTTCTATGAGTGGGTTCCCTTTCTGCACTCTTGCCCTTCTGCCATGGCATGGTGCAGCAAGAAGGCCCTCACCAGGTACCAGCACCTTGATCTTAGCGTTCCCAGACTTCAAAACTGTGTTCTGTTCTTTATACATGACCTAATCTCAGGTATTCTGTTGTAGCAGCACAAAACTGACGAAGACACTTCCCACTCCCAAGCGCAGAGTGGATGTTGAAGCAAATTCTGGGGGTCCCCAGCGGGGAATTGGTATGTGAAGAAAGGTGGTTGTTAGTCCCTATATTTTGTGATACCCTATTCAAGGCTTCAAATTCCTAACCCTTTCTCCCTCCACGAACTCCTCAAAATGTTTTCCCTGATTGTATTGTAGAAGAATTTAAAGAAACATCACCAAGCTAAAACATCAGTTACGTGAAGGCTCTTTCTCTTTTCCCACTTTGCTGGTTGTGATTGTTGTTTCCAAATAGGAACAAAGAATTCTTCTGGAGGCAAGAAGTAGCTTTTTTGATGAGGGGTCCAGAAAGGCCTTTTCTTAGTGGCATTTTCTTGAGGAAGTAACAGAAATTCCCACTCTAAACAACAAAAACAACACACACACAAAACATGGACTCTAACCACAGAAAGAGCGCATCTGGTGTATCAGTAAGCCCTTGACATCTATTGGAAGTGGTGACAGGTAGAAGTTGAAAGGTGCAGAATGGAAAGACAGAAAGGAGGTGAAGGGGGCAAGGTGAAAAAGGCAGGTCAAGAAAGAATTCACAGAGTCAGTAGATGCCTTCAGTAAAACACCGAATCAGGGGTCAGCCAACTACAGCTCATGAGTCAAATTCAGCCCACTGCCTGTGTTTCTATGGTCGATGAGCTAAGAATGGTTCTTGCTTTTAAAATGCTGAAAAAAAATCTGAAGAAGAATATGTTGTGGCATGTGAAAATTATGTGAAATTCAAACGTCAGCGTCCATAAATAAAGTTTTATTGGAACACAGCCACGCCCACTGTTGATTGCCCATGGCTGCGTTCTTGCTGCTGCTGGCCGAGTTGAGCAATTGCAACAGAGACCATATGGCCCACGAAGCCAAAAATATTTACTGTCTGCCCCTTTCCTGGCAGATTTACTATCTGCTGACCCCTGCTCTAGATAGTGTTTTAAACACTGGCCTGTAAATTTGGGTTAGCAGTCTAAACCTCCCCAACAAGAAGCACTTAGCAATTATTTGTTATTGTGTCTGTTTTCTGATAAATCCAGGGCCACAGCTGCAAAGGCAGGTAGAGAAAGACCTTTCCCACTTTCTCTCCAGCTCTGTTTTGCCCTTCAGCTACCTGCATAACTCCACATGCATCTCTCGCTGCTCTTTTTGGAAGCCAGCCTACCCTAGTTGAACTCAATGTATACAAGATTTTTATTTGTACCATCACATGAGAACGACATCCCACTTTTTGAAATATCACAGAAAAAGTTAGAGATGGAAATATTTGTAATATGTGTTACACGATTTCCATATTTTACAAAGAAACTATTAGCACAGCACAGCCATATTTGAATGATTAAATTTGTATTAATCCGTATGATATGCAATGCTATTAAACTTTATCATGATAGTGAATGTTTTATGTCATATGGTATCGACAGTCTGGCTAATTAATCACATTTGTGAAATATATTTTGTATTGCTACAGTGAATATTACCACATTCCACACAGCCCTATACCACCTGAAGCACACACTAGGTATTCGCAGATACGTGTTTTCCCCAATGGCATTTTTTATCCTATTAGCACTTGCAAAATGACTGTTGGACAAGAAACTAACATTACCTAACCTAGGACTGTCTTTATCCCCACTGCTTTCCACCAACTAGATCTTTCCTTAATTAGATTCCTGTGTAAACTAGCCCTTTTTTGAAATATATGTATATTTTTATTTTGGCAGTTTGCTTTACTTCTAAGTGACTGCCTGAGTCCTCATATATTCCCAAAGGAACTCGTTACATAATCCAAAGTCAGGTTTTAACTCAGGGGAATCTAGTTCAGTTGGAAGGACAGGAATATATTGAGAGAGAGACAGAACAATAAAGTAGTTATCAGAATTCCTCACAAACAAGTTTTCTTTGAGTGTCAGAAAGGGTGGGGGCCGCTGACTTGGCCACTGAGAGTGGAGGGAGATGTGAGCAATGGTGGATGCCAGGATCTGGAGAAGGGACAGAAGCAGACATGTTTTCCTTTTCTTTTCTTTTTGAAGGAAGATGGGAGCAGGTTCAAAGCTGGGGACATGACATGGAAAATCAACGTGTTTAGAAAGAATGTGGATGGAAAGGAGAAAGAGGCTGTGAGTGTAGTCATGATCTGAGAGGGAGTGCGAGTGTTGGATCGGTGTGTGAGGCTGGTTTCTCCTGCAAGTTGCACTCTGAGAGAGCCATTGTAAAGACACAGGAGCATGAACAGGGAGGTGGGTGGGTGTCAGGGAAGGAGCTTGTGGAAGAGCATTTAAGAGAAGGCAAGGAATAGAGTTGGATTTGTGTGTGTGTCCTGTGTGGGTGTTGGGAGGGATGGAAAATTGAAGGACAGGGAAACTGGGAAGGCATTAATTGCTTGCTGCTGCCTGTTCCGTAACCTGACCATAAACACAGTTTCTCCATCAGGCTTTTTAATGGACTCTTGAGGTGAACCGTGTGGCTCTGTGCCCTGTCAGGAGTGATGGTATTCAGGCAGACAGCCCTGGGGCTCTGCTTTCCCCCTGCAGTTCATCATGTCTGAATTTAGAAGGGAATTGTTTGGACAAGCCTGTTAAGTGAATGTTTTTCCAGCATTAGTAGGAGAGCTTACAGAGCTCCCATTGGATGGAAACAGCATCTAACCACCCCGAGCTATGCTGGGAGAGAAAATTTATATAATAACATTCACACAGCATCTTTCCTTTGCTTCTTTGCTTTCCTGCATTCCGATTGGTGGAAGGCATCTGTCCAAGCTTCTGCTCAGGTAGAACTCAGCCTGCATCTATCTCCTAAATTGTTCCAAAAGCATGAGACCTATCTGGGCACTCTAATTTGGTTCTGTTTCAGCAAGATTCACGTGTGTGTGTGTGTGTGTGTGTGTGCGCGCGCGCGCGCACATGTGCATACACAAGCGTGTAGCAAGCGAAGAGCGGGGAATCCTGTTTATGAGCTCTCCCAGCAGCAATTGTTATGGGAAAGTAAGTGTTCAAGGAAAATGATCTGTATGCATTTTTTGCTTCTCTTTGTAGGAGCTACCCCAAGCCACAGCAATCCCAGATCCTGGAAAATTACCAGTTATTCTGTCTCCAGTTTGTTTCCAGCAGAAAGCACTGGGGAAACCAAAGTAATAATAATAATGAGAATTACCCAAGCTTGAGTTTCATAGGAAAAAAAGGCTAAATCTTAAATAGTTTTGGGATCTATTCATTGGGAAGGGGAGGAGGAAGGTAATGGGGAAGGAGGTTAGCTACCCACTAAGGTAAAAAAAAAAAGTGCTGGGATTCTTTTGTGTCTCAGAGCAGTCCTCTCTGAGGCTGCCTTGCCTGAGGCATCTGCACACCTCAGAAGCAGGGAGGCCTGGAAGGTGATGCCCACACCAGAGCTGGAGCGGAATCTTCTCTGCCAGTAGAGAAGGTGGGGCCAAGGAGAGAAATTGTTGCCGTGGCCAAAAGCGTTCCTGGGTTCTGTCTGCCCCATTAACTCTGTGGAGGGAGGGATTCGGTGGCAGCCAGTGCAGGTGTGAACACTCAAGTCATCACTTGGAAAATTGGGCCCCGGAGGCAGGAGCTGCCAGCTGCTCAGTGATGGGCTCTCATGCATTCCAAGTCTGGGTTGTGCCCAGCATCCCTACCCCACTCCCCTTTCCCTTTCCCGGCAGTGTACACGGCCCCCCACTGCCATCTCCCTCCCTCCGATCCTTTGCAGTTTCCCATGTAATTTGCTTGTAACAAGCCTCATAAAGTTTGATCGTGCTTGCTAGGACTGAAGACACATGAGTGGAATGAGCTCATGTTTCTGGCAATGGAGCACTAGGGTTAATGCGAGTCCCAGAGGGAGCTGCTTGCCTGGGCTTTTTCAGGAATGGGAGGCAATTTAACAACCTTCAGACTTTCAAAGTGTCAGAAAAGTAAAACCTGACATGCTTTTGGTGGGCTATATATTCCTGTTCTCTGAATTCTTATGGTTAATCAGCCCCCTTTTACTAGTCCAACCCCCTCTCTCCTCTGCCCCCATCTCCTGGGATTTCTGAATTACCATAAGACAAAATGTTTATTATCATCTCACTTCCCTGAACTATTGGGCCCATCCAGTGTTTCACTATCTCTTCAGTCACTCTCCACGCCCCCAACCACTCCCACATCTCTTCCCAGTCATCATCAAAACCCTCCTCTTCCTTCCCTTCTAAGACTACTTCTTACCTCCTTCCGTACTCCCTCCTCCTCTTCTCCCTCCTCTTTTTATTTATCCGTCTGTCTCCCTCTCACTTCCTTTGCAGTTTTCTGAACCTCTGCCATAGGGTTTATTGGCTTGGCATCTCAGTGGTGCATGGACAGATGGACGGAGACCACAGCAATAGAGTAGGCAATTTCCCAAGGTGAGTTAAAAAGCTTTGTTCTTGATTCTTCCAATCCACTCAAGGTGCTTATTAATTTAACAAACATGTATGGAGCACCATTATGTACAGCCACCATGTTAAACATGAAGACTGTCTTTACTGTATACCTTGGAACTTGCTTGGATCACCATGGCCATGATTACTGACATTGTGTTTTTGCAAATAGTGCCGTTATTAATAACTACATTTGCAGGCTTCTTAAATAACTTTCTATATATTATTCAAATAAATGCATCTTTATCGGATACCTTATTTGTGTCAAACATTATGCTGAGCATTGGGGATATAAATTGTCTTCATAGGGCTTAAAAAATTTCTGGAATAGCCAGGTCCAGAGGTGTTCCTTGGCTAACCCAAGGTTACAGAGCTCATGAGTAGACAGCTGTGATTTTTTCAGTCAAAGCTAATGCTCTTTCTTTAGCATAGTTTCTCAAACTTATTCATTGAAATCACTCGGGAAACTAAAGCATACTGATATCTGGGTCCCACTTCTACAGATGCTGGTTTCATTGATATGGGTATGGCCTGGGCTCAAGATTTTTAAAAGTTTCCCCAAACGATTCTAATATGCAGCAAAGTCTAGAGTCTAGAGTACTTCCTAAGCTGTGCCGTCTGGTATTATATTCTGTTGTTTTCATGCTCTGTTTGCACATGAATCAACCCTGTTTCCTCTGTGAGACTGTAAACCATTTGGGTATGCAACTGTGTATCTTACATTTTCTATATGGCCCATAAGGCTTACACGATGCCGAATGCACCGTAAAGTATTTGTTGGATTAGTACGAGTATTATAACAAGTGAAAGGTGGGTTTGGTGTCAGGGAAGGCTAGCAAAGGGGTTCCTGGCCCCTCAACCAATGGCTGTGGGCCTGCGCCATTTTTCCTGACAACTCTTAAAGACATCACCCAGGAGAATGCCTCTCCTATAAACCTCAAACGAGCTCCTTGACTTTCACTCTCTCTCCATGTTTTCCACTTTAATCTCCTACAAGATTCTTTTCCCTATGACATTTTTCTCTCCATTTTAACGACAATTTTGCAAACTGCAAACAGATACCAGGTTGACTTTCCAAAACCCTTCCCTCCTTTCAGTGCTGAAACCTAGAAGCCAGGCTTTGCCACCAGACTGAGCAGGATCCAGGCCTTCTGCCTTTCCACTTTGCCCAGGCAGCTGAAGCCAGGTTCTTAGCAGATTTAAAAGCCTTCAAAGGAAGATGGCCAGGCCAGTTAGGGAATGGGATTAGAGTATTTAGCTCAGATCAACACAAAGGATTATTTCTGAGCAATGCTCCTCACTTCAATGATCTTGGATCTAAACTATATAAAGTGAAATAGCTCCACCTCCCAAAATGTAGAGAGTTGTGAGAAGATGCGAGTGGAGAGGCTAGGATATTTACTTTTTGTTTGTTTGTTTGTTTAGACTGAGTTTCACTCTTGTTGCCCAGGCTGGAGTACAATGGCACAATCTCGGTTCACTGCAACCTCTGCCTCCTGGGTTCAAGCGATTCTCCTGCCTCAGCCTCCTGAGTAGCTGGGATTACAGGCATGCACCACCACGCCTAGCTGATTTTATATTTTTAGTAGAAATAGGGTTTCTTCATGTTGGTCAGGCTGGTCTCGAACTCCCGACCTCAGGTGATCCACCTGCCTCAGCCTCCCCAAGTGCTGGGATTACAGGCATGAGCCACTGTGCCCGGGGGGATCTTTACTTTTTAGAAGCAGTTTAAAAGGATTCATTCATTCATCCATCCATTAATTCATCCATTTAATTAATCAGTTAACATTTATTGAATCCTTTTGAACAAGTGCCAAAGCTAGAAATAGAGATGGATAGGGCATAAACTTTGCCTTCAGGAGATCCCAGTTTAATAAGGGAGAAAGACATGCATATAAACAAACACACCTGTGAGTTAAGTGCTTCGATGGAGCACAGAGGGAAGGTTCCTACCCTGCTGGAGGGAAGGGAATCAAGGTAGTTAAAAAGGTTTTCTGGGAGAAAGTGAAGTGGGAGGTTAGAATTGAAAGAGAGGTAAGCATTGGCCAGGTGAGAGTGTACAGAGGACAGTGCAGGGCCCTCATCCTGTGAACACACAGAGCTGCATCTGATGCAGTGGGTTGTGGGGGGTGGGGACAGCAAGAGGACATGATGGGGAGGCCAGCCAGTAGCACCTCAGGAAAGGCCTCATGAGACAGTCTTGGGAGTTGGGGCTTCAGTCTGATGACGGGTCACACCCCAGACTTAGGGAAGTGACTGGGCCAGCCTCTGCTGCTGCATCACTTCTGCCACTAAGCATTTGGGGTATGAGGGTGGCACCAAAACAATGGTGCAGGCACTCAGCTGATTGCCAGGTGGCCATGCCACCATTTCCTATGAAGACACTCTAGTTGAGGGTTCAAGGACATTTCCCCCATTGTGTTGAACTTGTCTGCAATAAAAGAGAAATCATTGGCAATTTCTGATTGGGTGTTATATGCTCTTTGAGAACTGCAGTTAGGCAGCAGGCTACAGATACACTGATATATTTTCAACAAGGACTCACCAAGAAAAACAAAACTCATGTTCCCAAAGGCATCTGCTGTATCTGCTTTCTCTTGATGTCAGAGATTTTTGTAGATGAAATGTTCCATATCTTCATTTCTTAAAGTCCCACCCAAAACATGAGGCAGTTGTTCTCTCACTTACTCTGCAGATCCAACAAGCTATTACTCTCCTCAGTCTCTTTTTAGCAGAATGAGTGCAAAAAACATGCCAGAGCTGAAGCCAGAAAAGACCCCACTGAATAGGTCTTTGTTTGCCTTTTTTTTTTATCACTATTATGCCAGCCTCCAGAAATTCCATGAGTTCTGTTTGCTGAGGGCCTTGAGTTCTCAATAAAGCTGAATTTGCAGAAGCCCCAAGGGAATTCGGCGGCCCTCACCTCATACCCAGGGACAGGCCTGACTTTCTCATTCCTTTAAATAGATATGTTTTTTTAATGAGAACTCTGTTGAGTTTTCAGAGAAGGTAAAAAACTTATTTCTGTTCATTCTGGGTAAACTACTAATCTAACTTTTTCCAAATACTGTCCGTTGCAAGATGGTCGTTTTCAATTGTAGGGGAAGAAATCTGTGCCTGAATAAGGGAAAGGATTTGGGGGTCAGAAGAATCAGGCTCATGAAAAGCAGCAGGGACTTTGCAGGTTTTATCATTACTCAACCAGGGAGGCAGGTAAAAGCATCCCCATTTCACAAATGAGGATATAGAAACTCAGGTAATTTGAATAATTTGCCCAGGATCATAGAGGTGGAAAGTAGCAGAACTGGGTCCTGCAGGTCTGCACACAGGGCAGACTCCTAAGTAATATCTGTGGATTTGAAATTCCATGGGCAAATTTAGCTGGAAGAAGAGAAGACCTTCTTTGATTAATTTGGGAGAGTGATTAATGAGGGATGTAAAATTTGTTAAAAAGAATATGCCATCAGATTTGCAAAGTGCTTTTCTATTTTGAAGAACCTTTCACAGATTTATCTAATAGGATAGAAGGACCAAGCGGAGGAGACCGAGCAAGAGGTTTTATATTGATTTTTTTAGGCAAGGAAGCTGCAGCTTGACAAGATCCTTTAATGAATTAGTGACAGACTAGGGGAGGAGCCCAGTCTGCTGGCACCTTGGTCAGAGGCCTTAACATGACCGTTTGTGCTTCGCAAGCTCTGACGTGCTTCAAAAATTAATGCAGATTTCCAGATAGCACCCCAAATCTACCATATCACCATTTCTGGAAATGGGCCATGGGATCTATATTTTTAAAAAACTCTCCAGGTAATTTTTCCTGACATCAAAGTTTGTGAACACTTGTACTAATGTGTGTGTGTGTGTGTGTGTGTGTGTCACTTTGACTTTGTGGGTTGGAAGAGCTAGTTCCCTTACATATTCCCCATAAACAACCTCTAGTCAATTGGTATCCTTATAAGCTAAAAAATTTGTTCTCGAAGAGAGATTAGAAAATACTGTCATTTTTAACAAGCCTCACTGTTAGGAAGTTCTTCCTTGTATCTAACTACAGTATTTCTTTATTCAATTTTTTTTTCATTGTCTTAATAGGAATAGAGAACACGCAATCACTATCCTTCATGTAATACTGGTCTCTATAATTGAAAGAAATTTATATATCTTTCTTCAGAATTCTCTGCCTCACACTAAATTCTCTGTCCTTTTAGCACCAGAGTTATGAAATATTTTTAGACTGAAGCAGTTCTGAGTTATGGACCCTGAGGACAGCATCACAGGGAAATTCTAAAGAGATCCTTTCTTTCCTGTGTGACATGTTTGAAATAAATATTATTAAAGATTCACATTGATTTCACTTAAGAATGGAAACATATATTTTCAATTTCCTCTTGCTGCCCTACATTTCAGTTTTTAAAAAATCTAACCTGCAGTTATGAGGCACATAAAAACTAATAGGATATTTTTTAAAGTCACCAATCGTAATGATATTGTACTTATGCAAATCAATGAAAGCAATTGACTCCTTTTACTCATTACTCAATCAAGATTTACAGCTGCCTAGTATGTTGGGGGAAAGATTGGTTACCACAAGCTCACAGTTTTTTCACCTGTCTGCAGCTTCCCCCCTCCACCCTGCCTTATAAGAAAGACTCCGTAGAGGGGAGAAAACTGCTTTCTCCTCCTCTGACCTTTGTTCCCCATCCTCACCAAACATTGTTTCTTTTTCCAAATCCCCGAAAGGTAATTCCAGTTTGGGCCTAAGGAGATGATTCATGTGTATATTTTCTCATGCTATAAAAGATTATAGAATGTCCATAGAAAAGAACAAAATGAAACAGTTTGGGAGATATGACAAGGTTAACAGAAAGAAGCAAAGGTCTCTGAACACAGTCAAGCCACTTTGACAAGACCCTCCTCTCTTAGGACTTGGCTAATGTTGGCTCCCTTGTTCTGTGACACTTATAGTCCTATAGGGGACTGGGACTCTCGACTCTAAAGGGAAATTGTCACATTGTTTAAAGTTTATTAAACGTATGCAGTAGGGCTAGATTCAATATGCAATCAAATTCCAAGTTTTGAATCCAGTCAAGAAATGGATAGCTAGTTTATTTACTTTGGTTCTACTTTCTTCTTTACTTTGTAGGAAAAAAATGAAACATTTAGAGACAGCCAACAAAAACATAAAATCAGCTGAGAAGGTGTTGAGGCCAGTGTACTTTCTTCCTAGCTCGACCATAGGACCTTACACGAGGCAGTTATTCAGCAAAGACCTAAACCGCGGTGGAGATGGATGGAATGACATTAGCACATGGGATTGGCACGCACAGTACGTGCCTGTCAGCAGGAAATATGTACAGACAGTGTGCTTTATGACCCACAGACACCACTCTTCCCATCGCCAGCCAGCTTCGTCTGGAAAGACCGTTTTGTCTGATGTCCTGAATGTCCCATACAAAAGAGCTTGTTTTGTTCTTAAAGCATCATTTCCTTACTCAAGGTTTTTGGCTGCCAATGCATAAAATCTACAAAGAAAAACAATAAGCCATGTCTGGGAAAGACATCAATAGCAACACCTTCCTCTGGCCCAGGGGATCAAGGTAGTAGAGGAAGACAAGACAGAGACAGCCAAGCCCTTTCCCTTGCAGCCAAAAAACAAATGTGATTTGCAGATGCCTTGGCCAGTGATGGCCATTTGGCCCAGAATTGCCTCTATTTGCTTCACAGTCAACCTCGCACATGCTCTGATGGAAACAACAAAGACTCTCTCTTCTGTCCTACCCTGACCTGAGTACATACATACTTAAGAGAGAGTCTGAGTATACATACTTGGTTAGGCAAATTAGACATTCCTCTATCCCCATAGGAAGCCTCGTGAAGGGAAGATGCTCACACACCCCTTCAACTCAGTAAGTCTTTATTGAGAACCAAGGTTATATTTTACAGAAAGAGCTAGATAATTCAAAGGCAGTTTCTTCAAAATAAGATATCAATAAAAATCATCCTTACTCCATTTCTTCCTAGAATGCTAAATCAAATAAAGGGCAACACTAGGAGAGTCCTGGACTTCCTTAGACTGTAAATTGATGAGATATTATTTGTGCAGGTATCCGTCCTGCTTTCTTGTATTCACAGAAATACACTTGGGAGGTCTCCCCAAATGCTGGCCTCATCACAAGACATCTCCATGGGCTACCTCACTGCCTTTTTCATGGTCTTCCTGCCTTTCTTACCCTGCCATCCTCACCTCCTGTATTCTTGTTGTCTAGGAGCTGACTCTCCCTCCTTAGACCTGATCCCCAAGCATGATTCCCATGGGGACCTGACTTTCTGCTTGGTTTTCCACCAGTGTAATTGGAATTTAGATATTGATGACTGTCAATAGCAGTTCACGGTATCCTTCCCAGATATGTATTCCTTAGAAACTTTTGTTGATGTTCACACTCTGAAGAATGTCAGTGGTGGACATGCCAAGTAAGAGGTTAGCCCCAAAAGAGTCTACATGCAAATCATGGTCAGGGGTTCTCATTTCCACAAAGAACCCTGGATCCTGAGGACTCTTCTTCAGGAGGGTGCCCTACCTGCAATTCCTTCTTTCAATCCAATTCAACGAGTGTTTGGCTAGTGGTAATGGAAACATGAGTTCAGTTTACCACTGACCTGAGTACTACAGAGGAACTAAAAATGAATGCTTCATTTTCTCCAGGGTCCCTGTTGGTACACATAAGATTTAAAGGCATATGAAACAGTCATGAAGCAGCAGGACAAAGCTCATAACTGGGCACTAAACTTTAGGGCAGAGTTGACAATGCTATAGAGGTCAGGGAAGCCAATGTGGATAGCTGTTCTGGAAGGCTGAGTGGGTTTGGGGTGAGCAGGGAGAAGGAGAAGGCCACTTGTGGTATGGTGACTGTGCTGGGCAATAGAAATCAGAGTTAACCTAAAGCTGATGCTCTGAGCCATCTCTAAGTACTAAGGGAAAGGCTACCTCTTTTGAATTTTGCTTTTCCCCCTCTGAAGACTCCCAAGGAGAAGATGTGGCAAGATGACACTTGTCCGTGCACAGCCAGTCAATATAGACCGTGCCAGTGATGTTAAAACCTGGTTCTCTAGCCACAGCGCATGTAAATACCTGTCAAAAACTTGGGAAGTGAAACATTTCCAATTGATAAAGAGCCCAAGGTCACGAGTTCAATCCCGGGACAGCCAGTCAGCTTTGCCTGTTTCTCACTCTGAGTTTGTGCTGCTAACTCTAGGCCAACTCTTCCATGTTGGTCATAAGAATCCTGGATAAGAACATAAATGAAGTAGGAGATATCTGCCACCACCACTGAAAAAATCCACAGCTGAGTACTGGATATTTTGTTGGCAGTCTCAGAGGGTTTCATTTGTTTGTGTTTGTTTCTTATAGAACACATCATTAAAATACACTCGAAGTGGCAATATAGCATAGTGGCTGGGTGTAGGCACTAGAGGCAATTACCTGGGTTAGAAAAGTAGGGATGATGATGAAAAGAATACTTTCATAGGATTGTTGTGAAAAATACGAGGTGACACCTTAGAAGAGTTATAAGAGCACCTTGAAGCATATTGAATGTGTGATAAATATCAAGTCATCATTATGATGATGGCCATTATCGATCCAGAGTGGATGTTAGAGGGCATCTAGTTGAATACCATAATTTTATAAAGAAGGAAACTGAATTCTCAAGAGGTAAAATGAGTTGCTGAAAGTCACGCACAGAATGGGTACTAATACTCTGGTCTCCTGACTCTAAAAGAAATGCTTCATTTTATGTGTTGTCTTCACCCTTAACAAAGCACATTCACACACATTATCCCCAAACTCTCCCTGTTGCACCATGTTGCCTCTCCAAACCGAATCACAGAAACATTTTTCAGGCACCTGAGTATAAGAGTTTCACAGGTGAGTCCCAGAAAGAGGTGTTTGTGTAAAAAGATGAGGGAAGAGCACAGAAAGGCCACATTCCAACAGTGCAGCTGATGAATGTGAGGCCTTCAAGGCTGTGGCAAAGCTTTATTCCATTATTAATTTGATGCTGTGTTAAATTGGCCATTTTATGATCAGTAGAGAGAGTTCCTTCAGGGGGACCTGCACTATCTTCCATGAGCTCAACTGTCCCAACCAGCTGTCAAGACGATGCCTGTTCCTCTTTCCTGATTAGGAGCAGGAGACCATAATGAAACTAGGTTTGCTCCATTTCTTCTTTCTTGAAGAATTTAGCCTTGTCTTTGGGAAATAATATCTGCTTATCTTTAGTGACTTGAAGCCTACCTCTCCTTCTATCTTTGTCCCCTACCCAAATCAGCCCACCTTACACTGATGACTAAAGAGCTGTTGTGTTACAGTCATCCACTCAGTGGTGTGCTGTTGGCTGGTGCACCTGCCTGTCTTGCCTGAGCATGAAACTCCTTTAGAGTTCCGTTTTTCTTGAAGCAAGATAAAGAAAGGCATGTCTCACTAGAACTCCTCTGAGGAAGACCACTGTGTGTTGTTTGATGTATCACTTGGGTTGGTGGGATGGGACCACAAATGTATGTTATGTTAAATAACAGTAGCCTGATGGAGTATTCAGGTTAGGGGCAGAATTAATTGGGACAATAAAGGAGCCAAAGACTAACTTGGGGTGTAGGATCCTGGAGGGAGACTACGGTGAAAATACAAGAAGCTATATTGGCTGCAAAACTGTGAAATACTTTGCTGTGGGATGTGCGATGTAAACTATCTTTTCTGTTTTTCTTATGATTCTTCAGTAAATCCATTAACAAAGCATGAACTTTCTCTTTTAAAAAACAGTGAAGAGGCCAATATTGATGTATAATCTGGTAAAGAGAAGATGAGGACATTCTATGTGGTTGGTGGGAAGCAGGCAACAGGAGGGAGAGTGGGTAAAAAATGTACTGCAGTATCCAGTGACCACCTGAAGAGCAGAAGGTTTCTTTCTACCAATAACCAGCTAATTCTTGGAAGGAATGGTCCGCCCTTCAAATTCCCTACTTTTATAAACATTTTTCTTTCTTCTTTTTGTTTGCTAGATATGTGTTATAAAATGAACTATGTCTCCTTACCCCAATTCATAGGTTGAAGCTCTAACCCCCAATGTGATTAAATTTGGAAACAGGACCACTGGAGAGGTAATTAGGGACAAATGAGGTCATAAGGATGGAGCTCTAATCCAATAGGACTGGTGTTCTTATAAAAAGAGGAAGAGATTCCAGACCTCTTTCTCTCTCCACTCACACACAGAGAAAAAGGTCATACAAAGACACAGTGAGAAGGCAGCTCCCTGAAAGCCACGAAGAGAGGCCTCAGCAGAAACCAACTCTGCCGGCGTGTTGATCTTGAACTTCCAGCCTTCAGAACCGTGAGAAAATAAATTTGTGTTGTTTAAGCTACCCAGCCTGTAGTATTTTGTTATAGAAGCCCAAGCTGATTAATAAAATGTGTTGCTCCATTAAAAGAGCTCTCTCTTCTTCACAGTTGGATATGACTTTATATTAATTTTTCTTGCATGTGATTTTGCCTAGAATGCTGTACCAGTCAGTGGCCCCTCCTATTGTAAAAAAACAATCTCTTATATAAGCTTACTTATTTGGTAGACAGGCTGGTTTTCAAATGTGCTGTGGTTTCACCCTCTCTCAGTGTTTTTATCAGAGTACAGCCAGAGGAGCAGAACCAATGGGAAGTAAGTGTGTGTTTGTGTGTGTGTGTGTGTGTGCGCGCGCGTGCGCCCCAAGTCCACAGAGTAAACATTCATGAAGGAAGGATCCAGAGGTAATAGAGTTGCAGCTCCAACTGTTGCGTCATGCCAATGAGGTCAATCAGCAGATCTGCAACAATGAGGTGAGTGTGGAGGCCCCAGAATGTAGAAATATTTTATAATTTATTTCTCCTCTGTTGCTTGGAATCTTTCATACTCAAGGAGAGCTTAGTCCCTCTTTAAATCCACCTGATTGAGTCAGGTCTACCCATGATAATCTTTCTTTTTATCAACTCAAACTCAACTGATTGGGACTTTAATTGTACCCACAAAATTTCTTTGTAGTGGCACCTAGAATAGCATTTGATTGAATAATTGGGAGAAGGTTATATGTATTACAGATTGGCTGCTGCTCCTCTTTGATACTTCCATTCTCTTGAAAGAATCTCCCCGGAATCCCACCTTAACCAGAAACATGCCAGAAAGGGGATTCTGGGGAATATAGGTTAGCTTGGCCTTGTTAACACATCAGAAAGCCATGACAGTGTCCAATACTCACATATATCATTGTGATTCACTCTCAAGCTTTTACTCCACAAAACATGTAGGGCTGATCTGTTAAAAAACAAACAAACAAACAAACAAACAAAAAAAACTCTTTCCTGACTTTCATGGAAAAGGCTGCCAGGCTTTAGAGAAGACACATTCTCTTTTTCTTCCTTTAGTTGTCCTCCATGGGTTTAAATCCTTCTCGTTTCACCTTGTCAGTCTTTGTTTCTGTTTGCTTGAATGTCATAGGAAGGAAAGAGCTACACTCTTATTTCTGTGGTTTGCTTGGTTGTAGTTCTTTCATTATAAACTGAGGAGGAATGATGTTTTTACTACTTACAAGCTGTGTGAAGTTGGGCCAATCCCTTACACCTCCAGTGCTCAAAGAATAATCACCTCTTAGGTTTGCTCTGTAGGTTAAATGACCAAATGTATGTAAAGCACTGTGCAGGCTGCCTGAACACTGTAGGAGTTTGAAAAGTGATAGCATATCATAATTATCATCATCAATATTATTATTTTCTCTAATTCTTTAAATATAATAAAGAATAAGTTATTTACCCAGACCCAGAGCTACCCCAAATCAGAATTGATATCAATTGATATGCTTTTCACCCTACCTAATCTCAAGTTTCTTGCTACCTTAAGACATTTATTCAGAGAGGCTTCTAATTGCTATTAGCCTTCATCATTTTCTCAAATATATTGCCTACAGCATTGGCAGCAGCAATAATAAATATAATAACAACTCCATGAAACCTCATGTGTGCTAAAGGATCCAAAGACAATCTGAACAGCAGGAAAGAAAGTTTCTTCCTATCAATTAATGGGAAGCCAAGTCTAATTTGCCACCTGCACAGCACTTTTGAACCTGTCAGGGACAAAGGAAGCCAGTGAACCTTCATCTTGTCACTAGTCTTCTTGGGGACTGCTCTCTAAAGCAAATGAAAATAGCATTCATTAGAGTAAAAAATAGAACGCCTGTGTCAGCCCCCTATGTTCTCTTCCTAGGTAGAAACAGAGTCCATCATTGTCAGTGAGGAGGTGGCTCACAAAGCCCTCTGGACCTTTGCATTCATCTCCTGCTGCTGGAGAATGAACATTTCCTTAAACTCTTTTGAAATGTTTAGAATGTTAACTCATCAGTTCCCCTGTGACTTGTGAGTCAAGAGACATTAGAAATATTAAAAGAGTTCTACTGTTTCACAGTCTAACTCTGAAAATGCTGGAAAGGCTAAGATAAATTCCAGGTGAAAAAGATAAGACTTCTGAGAATTTTTTGGCTCCCCTGAATCATCTAGGATAACAATAAAAACATGTATACAATCTATTGCTAGTGTATTCCTTGGTTTAAAAACTTATACAAATAAAAACAAACACACAAACTCCTTCCCCATAGTATGTACTAATACTTCAAAATTGAATTTCTTTTCAACTGGTACTTTGCTTACAATTAGGGATGCTGCCACTAAATGGCAGTATGCAAGATAAGGCCATGAAGTTAAAAAATGTGGATGATAACTTATTCAATAATTAATTCAACATATTTAGTAGAACTACCATGTGCCAGAAACGTTGAAAACAATACTACTTGCACCTTGATAATTTTGCCTTAGATGAAAGTAAGCATATATTTATTGCTACTTTTATGTAGAAACCTTATACTATCAACTTCTAATTCATTGATGATGTACCTAATCAGAAATTACTAGCTATTGTAGAACATTTCTCACAAATTATGCTAATCTAATTCTCATCTTATCCTCATACCTTGATTAAAATTACCTCCTCCTTTGTTATGAACTCTGAATCCCATCTTGGCATGGCTCCACTGCACTGTCACCTCACTTTGGAGCCTTTTTGCCACAGCAGCCACTCTGGGGGTTTTCCTTCCTTGCCAGAGATCCAGAGACTTCTTTTCCTTCATCCCAATTATTATTGATCTACATGCCCTGTTTGGAGCTTTGAGCTATTGTGCAAGGCTCAGGGACATCCAAGTGTTCCCTCTGCTCCCTCCTACCCACATTTAGCCCACCCCATCTCAGAGTGAAGAAGAGATGCTATTAATGGATGAAAGTTGAGGGGATTTTTTTGGGTCCAGATGCTGAGATAGTCTCTTTCTCTCTTTAGGGATGATATTTCCTTTGAGGTCCTCTCTTTTACATGATTTCAGTTAAAGAGGTCTGGGACTGCTCTGAGAAGGCCTGGAGTTACCCAACTCCAAGTTGGCTTACCCAACTTCTATTTTAGGCACAGGGGTACTTAGGCTCTCATTCCTTGGAAGTTTTCCAGAGAAGAGTGATTGAAGGTCAGAATCCTGAGTCCTGATTGTGTCTCTAGTTGTTTATTAACAAAGACCCAGCTTCCTTTTGAATTAGAGGAACAGATTTCATTTGTCTTTTAAATCCCTGGGTCTCAGCTCTGTTCTTCCTGAGAGCTCTGTGTCTTCTCTCCTATAGGCTAGAATGGCACACAGGGAGTAGGAAAAGTCACATAACTGAGCCTCAAGACCACTTCCCCTGCAATTATGACAGTTTTCTCTGCCATCCATTTTTTTTCTTGAGAAGTCCTTCAGATTTCTTTCTTTCTGATCAATACTTTATTTGCAGTCAGTGATTCAGGTTGCCTGTAGCATCAGCTTCAGTTTATGCATATCATCAGACATACATTCTCTTTTCAAGAATTGTTTTCCATAAGCCTTGTATCTCTTACCACAGAACATTTTTAAACAACATTTATAACCAGAAGATTTAATAAGTCTTAATAGATAGAAGATTTAAAGTATTTTTATCAGATCAGATTGTCATGTTAAGGACATTTTATTGAATCTAGGCATTTATTATAAGATAATTTCTCAACATATATTATCTCTCATATAGTCATACATATATACACATACATATACACATATATGTTATACATATATATGCATATGTGCATATACTATACATAAATACATAATACATTATATATGTGTGTATATATTGTTTTTTCCTATTTGTAATATAGGACATAACAGAACTATGCTCAGTTCAGAAGATATCAGGATAAAGAGATTAAAATCAAGGCAAAATCGAAAAACATAATAGAATATATTTTTCTTGCCACACTTTCTCCAGGTGTAGGGCATAAACTCAACTAGTAGTTTAGGACTTTCTAAACATTACTAGACATACCATATGGGCCCACTTGTGTTTCAAATCAGAATATTACATACAAGCACCCACTTAAGTCCCTGGGCTGCCCATGTCAATCCAAGGCAGCTGAGGGTAAAAAGAATGAGATTTTTCTGAAATCCAGGAAAGTCTACTGTTAACATGATATTGTATCCAGAATTGGTTCCTTCTGGTGGGTTCTTGGTCTTGCTGACTTCAAGAATGAAGCTGCAGACCCTCATGGTGAGTATTACAGTTCTTAAAGATGGTGTGTCCGGAGTTTTTTCCTTCAGATGTTCAGATGTGTCTGGAGTTTCTTCCTTCCAGTGGTTTAGTGGTCTCACTGACTTCAGGAGTGAAGCCGCAGACCTTCACAGTGAATGTTACAGCTCATAAAGGTAGTGCAGACACAAAGAGTGAGCAGCAGCAAAATTTATTGTGAGGAGCAAAAGAACAAAGCTTCCACAGCATGGAAGGGGATCGAAGCAGGTTGCCGCTGCTGGCTCAGGTGGCCAACTTTTATTCCCTTATTTGGCCCTGCCTACATCCTGCTGATTGGTCCATTTTACAGAGAGCTGATTGGGTCATTTTACAGAGTGCTGATTAGTGTGTTTACAATCCTAGACACAGAGTGCTGATTGGTGCATTTTTATGGATGGCTGATTGGTGCATTTACAATCCTTTAGCTAGCCACAGAGCGCTGATTGGTGCGTTTTTACAGAATGCTGATTGGTGCATTTACAATCCTTCAGCTAGACACAGAGTGCTGATTGGTGCATTTTTACAGAGTGCTGATTGGTGCATTTACAATCCTCTAGCTAGACAGAAAAGTTCTCCAAGTCCCCACTCAACCCAGAAAGTCCAGCTGGCTTTACCTCTCAAACCCCCTCTAAACAGGACACCCCCAACTGCTGTTGGGAATTGGGCAATGACCACTCTAGCTAATTCCTGCTGGATAGGGGTGAAGAAGGGGCCCTGCAGTTGTAGTGTCCTCCAGAGGGGAACTCTTTAGGCCAGTGAAAGGGCCAGCGGGTCAGTCCAAGAGTCCTCGGTAGATGTTGTTGAGCTCATTTGGGGTTTCATTTGTAAGACCATCTGTAGCTTGATGGCCTCGATCCTAGAGGAAACAAATTTGACAAGGAGGTTAAAAATATAGGGCCCAAAAGTGAGTAATAGCAAGATGGCTGTCATAGGACCTAGAAAGGGGGAAGCCATGTCGCCCAACTCCAGAGGTTGGTATGAGTTTGGAGGGCATTGTCTAATTTCAGAGGCCCTTTCCTGTAAATGCCAGGTGGCATCTCATATTATCCCTGACTGGTTAGTGTAAAAACAACACTCTTCCCCAAGAAGGTGCAGAGTCCTCCTTTCTCAGCAGTGAGGAGGTCTAGGCCTCGGCGGTTTTGGTAGCGAACTTAACTGTTGTTGAAAACCTGTAGTCC